TTTCCCCCATGAAACATGATTTCTGTCTTAATTCTTAATTATCTCTGACACTTTCCCAGCTGCCTCAGAGGCCTGGCACCTTGCCATATATTAGTTAGATGCTCTTTCGTTTGCAAGTAGCTAGAATTATAGTATTACATAAATAGGGGGAGTTATTTTCTCACATAAAAAGAAATTCAAAACTTAATAAGGACTGTTGTTATTCTGGCAGCTCAGTGATGTGAAAGCCATACACACCATGATTCTGCTGGTCTTTTCCTCAAGTTGCAAGATGGTTGCTACAGCTCCAACTATCATATCTGCCCTCAAGGCTGAAAAAGGAGGGAAGAGCACAAAATAGTGGCACTATTAGTGTCAAATATTTCTGTATCAGTCATTTATTGTTGCTTAAAATACCATTGTAAAACTTAGTGGCTCAAAACAACAATTATTTATTAGTTCAGGTTTCTTAGCATCAGAGTTTGGGCTGGGATCAGCTGGCAGTTCTTCTACTGGTCTAATGGGTTCACTCAGAGACAGCAGTTGGTGGCTCAGTAGGGGCTATATTGTCCAAGATAGCCTAAGTTGTGTATCACGTATCTCGTATTTGCTGCTCACTCTTAAGATGTGATGACAGAAGCAGAGGTCAGAGTGATGCCATTGCTGGAAGGGGACTACTACCCAAGGAATGTAGATGGCCTCTGCAAGCTGGAAAAGACAAGAAGTGGACTCCTTCCCTGAAACTTCCAGAAAGATCAAACTCTGCCAACACCTTAATTTTACCCCAGTAAGACCAGTTTTGGACTTCAGACCTCAGGAAGTATAAGAGAATAAATGTGCTATGTCACTTATTACAGCAGCAATAAGAAACTCTCTCCCTCCATTGCTCTCTCATTCTCTAAGATAGAGGTTAGCCAACTATGGCCTCATTGCCTGATTTTGCAAAGAACATTGTATTGGAACATACATGTCCTTCCCTATTATCTATGTCTGCTTTCATGCTGCAACAGCACAGAAATTGTGACAGAGACTGAATGGCCCACAAAGTCTAAAATATTCACTACCTGGCCCTTTGTAAGAATAGCTTGCCAGCCCCTTCCTGCTCTAAGAGGCTAGCTGAGGCTTCCTTGCATGGTGGTTTCAGCATAGCAAGAGTACAAGAATTTGCTTCAAAGTTCTGGGAAAGAGCCAACAGTTTCAGAGCCTCCTTTTATCAGGAAAGCAAAGCCTTCCCACAGATTCCCAACCAGACATCCTTTCAATCTCATTGGCTAGAACCCAGTCACATGGCCACTCCCAACCACTGGGGGAGCTGGGAAAGCAGGAACAGGATTCTCATGATTGGCTTAGGCTACTGGTGATCCAGTGTCATATCTTTTTGCATTTTCATACTGGCATGGGGTAAAAGTGAAAACAGTGACACTTTATTTTCTTGGGCTCCAAAATCACTGCAGATGGTGACTGCAGCCATGAAATTAAAAGACACTTGCTCCTTGGAAGAAGACCGATGACAAACCTAGACAGTGCATTAAAAAGCAGTCATCACTTTGCCAACAAAGGTCTGTATAGTCAAAGCAATGGTTCTTCCAGTAGTCATATATGGATGTGAGAGTTGGACCATAAAGAAAGCTGAGTTCCCAAAAATTGATGCTTTTGAACTGTGGTGCTGGAGAAGACTCTTGAGAGTCCCTTGGACTTCAAGGAGATCAAACCAGTCAATCCTAAAGGAAATCAGTCCTGAATATTCATTGCAAGGACTGATGTTGAAGCTGAAGCTGAAGCTCCAGTACTTTGGCCACATGATACGAGCAGCCAACTCATTGGAAAAGATCTTGATGCTGGGAAAGATTGAGGGCAGGAGGAGAAGGGGCTGACAGAGGATGAGAGGGTTGGATGGCGTCACCAATTCAGTGAACATAAGTTTGAGCAAGCTCTGGGAGACAGTGAAGGACAGGAAAGACTGCATGCTTCAGTCCATGGGGTCTCAAAGACTTGAACATGGCATAGTGACTGAACAACATCAAGAATGGCAATCCTCTACTTAGTAGGTGTGTTCCATTAGCAAGGAAAGGAGAAGGGATTTAAAGAGGCAGTTAGCAAAGTTTGCCCTTGGTGTGTTGTCTGGGTGGCTCTGAACTTCTTGAATTTATTCATTCAACAAATAAACAATCAAATATCAAAATCAGCTATGTGCCCATTTCTGGACAAGGTTGGGGGAGGGAAGGGCTATAATCTCTGTCCTCAAGGAGACTGCAAGACCCTGGAGAAACTTCCTAATAAACAAGAGAAGGTGTGTATAAAGATTTTTCTAGAGCCCTATTTTCAAAGGAAGTTAGTAGAAGCAAGAGTGCCTCCATCAGGAGTGGATAAAGAAACTAGTTATATGATGGGCATGTTTATAGCAACTAAAATAAATGAACTAAGTCCTCACACATCAACCCAAATAATTCACCAACACATCTTGTTAAGTAAAAAAAAAAAGCAAAATGCAAAGTAATGTGTGCTTAATTAATTCATTGATGTGAATTGCAAAACATAAGACAATGGTATAAATTGCTTATAGATAAATACTGTCTTTTCATACTGTTCATGGGGTTCTCAAGGCAAGAATACTGAAGTGGTTTGCCATTTCCTTCTCCAGAGGACCACAGTTTGTCAGAACTCTCCACCATGACCTGTCCGTCTTGGGTGGCCCTACACGGCATGGCCCATAGTTTCATTTGAGTTAATTTTATGAGTTTGAGCAAACTCCCGGAGCTGGTGATGGACAGAGAGGCCTGGTGTGCTGGGGTCGCGAAGAGTCAGACACGACTGAGCGACTGAACTGAATTGAGATACTGTCTAGTAAAAGAAGATAAACATAGGGGAAGAGGAAAGGGGTATATTGCTGAAACTCTCATAATTTATTTCCTTAAAGAATAGATAAAGGATTAAAATAAACAATAAATTTAAATAACAAGGCAAAAATAAAATCTGAAAAGGTTTTTTTAAAAAGTAGAAAGACATACAGATGGCAAACAGGAACATGAAAAAATGCTCAGCATCACTAATGATCAGGGAAATGCAAATCAAAACCACAATGAGATACCACCCCACACCTGTCAGAATCACGACTATCAAAAGAACAACAAATAACAAGTGCTGGGGCACATGTGAAGAAAAGGGAACCCTAGTAATGTAATGTGGGAATGTAAATTGGTGTAGCTGCAATAAAAACAGTATGGAGATTCCTCAAAAAATTAAAAATAAAAGTACTATGCAATCCAGCAATTCCTCCCTTGGGTATTTATCTGAAGGAAATGAAAACACTAATTCCTAAAGATATATGCACCCCTATGTTCATTGCATCATTCTATACAATAGCCAAGATATGGGAGCAACCTAGATAGATCTGTCAATAGATAAATGGATAAAGAGGATGTCATATGTACATACAATGGAATATCAACCATAAGAACAATAACATCTTGCCATTAATGACAACATAGTTTGACCTTGAGGATATTATGTTGAGTGAAATAAGTCAAGTAAAGATAAATACTGTATGATTTCACTTACACATGAAATCTGAAAAACAAAACATATGAGCAAACAAAATTAAGCAGAAACAATCATAGATACTGAGAACAAACAGGTGGTTGCCAGAGGAGTGTGGGATGGGGGGAAGTGAGAATAGGTGAGGGAGATTAGAAGGTACAAACTTTCAGTTACAAAATAAATGAGTCACAGATGTGAAGTGTACAGTGGGGGGGTTATATTCAATAATAATGTAAGATTTTGTATGGTGACAGATGACAACTAGACTTAACCATGGTGATCATTTTGAAATGTATAGAAATATTGAATCACTATGCTGTGTACCAGGAGCTAACATAGTGTCGTTGGTCAGCTGTACTTCAAAAACAAACTCGGTTACAGAAAGAAAAAAATACCAGACTTGTCACTACTGGAGGCGGAAGGTGGGGGAGGGGGATTTGGAAGAAGGTGGTCAAAACGTATAAACTTGCAGCCATAAGATAAACAAGAACTAAGGATATAATGTACAACCTGATAAATATAATTAACACTGCTGTACATTATAACTGGATACTGTTGAGGGAATAAAGCCTAAGAGTTCTCATCACAAGGAAAAAAATCTTTTCTCTTTATTTAATATTAAATGTATATGAGATAGGTGTTCACTAAACCCATTATAGTAATTATTCCTTGATGTATGTCAGTAGACTTGTTATGTTATAGGCCTCAGACTTATACAGTGCTGTATGTCAATGATGTCTGAATAAAACAGGAAGAAAAAAATAAACAAAACTTTAAATTTTTTAAAGAAAATTAAAAAAATAAAAACCTAAATTATTTAAGAAAAAAAATTACTAGGATTTCAAAGGGACAGCTCCAATGAATATGAGGGTGTCTGTGTTTTGGTTTTTGAATTTTCTTTTTTTTCTGTCATTTCATTGAAGATTGAAGCTGGAGTTCAATTTCTCCATCAACACTAGAGTAGGGAAAATCAGAGGTCAGCCCAAATTCTGTCACTGGTGCAAATCCTTACTTTTAAGCCTCAATTTCCTCTTCTGTAAAATGGGCTTGTGACAGAGCTGTCTAAATGACCAACTGGACGCAATAAACATTTTTTATAGAGCTGCTCAAATGCCCACCTTCTTGCCAATTTCTCTTTCCCTCTCCATGTCCCAAGTCTACGCCAGGGACAGGGAACCCTGAGGTAGAATAAGGCATCTCCCATCTTCATGCAAAATACACCCCCTGAGGTGTGAGTCAACTACCAGTGCCCCAGGGAGGGAATAAGTGACATCACCAGGGCCAGCAGGTGCTTCGGTGGGAACTGGGGAAGTCTCTGGACCCCCTGGGTAGATGGCAGAGGAGGCATCCCTGCACTTTCTCTTTTGGGGCTACAGCAGGGATTTCCCTCCAGAAGAGCTTCCTTCCTCTTTGCCTTCTGACCAGCCCATGGAGTCCACTTGCCTGGTGTTTCACATCCCCTGGGCGGGTCTGCCCCTTCCAAGGATGGTACCCAGGACGCCCGAGTCACCTCCCCCAGAGCAGCCATTGTTTCCGTGGTGACCCCTGAGCCTGTGCAGAAACCAGATATGGGAGAGAACATGCCCAGCTATCCCTCGGGCACCTGGTGGCCTCCCATGTCCGCAGGGCACAACCCCAAACAGCATCATCGTCATTTGCACTGTCATCATCCTCGCCAGTGTCTGCACCGCTTTCCTCTCCTGAGCGCCCCGGATGCGGCAGGTGCGTTGCAGCCATGAAGACATGTAGATCTCACTGAGCCCCGTGAGCTAGGCTCAGTGGTCCCTCCTTTCAGAGCAGCCGCAGAGTGGTGAAGCTAAGCGGCCCAGCTGTCGCAGCTCACACAGCTGGTCGGTAACAGAGTTAGAACTTGCCCTGAAAGTGAAAGTGAAAGTCGCTCAGTCGTGTCTGACTCTTTGTGACCCCATAGACTATACAGTCCATGGAATTCTCCCAGCCAGAATACTGGAGTGGGTAGCTTTTCCCTTCTCCCTTCTCCAGGGGATCTTCCTGACCCAGGAATCGAACCAGGGTCTCCTGCATTGCAGGCAGATTCTTCACCAGCTGAGCTGTGAGGGAAGCTCAGAACTTGCCCTGGGGTGTTAGTATCCATCTGGCTGCAACGCCAGAGCTTTTACCTCTTATAGCCCCCACACCCTGTTGCCTCTCTTCCCAGGGAGAGGCAGGATGTGGGGTCTGAATGCGCTACCCACCACCCCCCCCCAGGGAAGGTTGAGTTTTCTCTGGAACTGCCCTGAGGATGACTCATGGCCCTCAGCCATCTCCTCTCAGGAAACACTAGGTTAATTGTGGTCCATTGTTGCTCTCCCTGCATGCAAGCGAGTGATTGTGAGTATCTGCGGAAAAGAGAGGAGGCAGTTCCTGGGCAGGGGGCACAGAGAGAGGAGGGGGGATTCTTGGGAAAGTGAGGTGTCCTTTTCCAGAGCCGGAGGTCTGAGCACCACCTCATCAGGGCAGAGAGAAGAGAGTCGGGGGCCTCTGCCCAGCTCTCAAGGATGCCCTGAAAATTATATTACCAACCGCCCTCCACGTGCCAGGAATGGGGAGACGGTGCAAGAGTGGGAGACTGGGGCGGAGATGATTCAGAAGCCTGACGGGCAGGAGAGGGATTTGAAATCACTTCTGTGGGCAGAAGAGAGGGGACTTGGGAAACCGAGGAGGTTGCCGGGCAGGGTTGAGAAGCAGGTGTGATGGAGACCACACATCTCTGAGGCAAGGGAAGGCCTGTGGGGACGGATGTACTGGGGAAGGAAGGAATGATTCCAGATTTACAGGTGTTCCCGACACCCTGCCAGCCCGCCCCCAGAAGGCGGGAACATGTGTGAGTGGCCACCGGGATTAAATGAGGTGGCTTAGGTCCCAGTACGAAGAACTGACTCATTTGAAAAGATCCTGATGCTGGGAAAGATTGAAGGAGGGAGGAGAAGGGGACGACCGAGGATAAGATGGTTGGATGGCATCACCGACTCGATGGCATGAGTTTGAGCAAGCTCCGGGAGTTGGTGATGGACAGGGAAGCCTGGCGTGCTGCAGTCCGTGGGTTCGCAGAGTCGGACACGACTGAGCAACTGAACTGAGCTGAGGTTTCAGTGCAGGGGCTGCCACTGGCCAGGAGTGGGAGAACTTGAATGAGTCAGTGCCACCTCTGCAGGCACAGAAAACAGACGTCAAGGGCAGCAGGCCCAGCTGGATCCCCGCGGCTGGGTCCATGGCTCAGAGCAAAGCCGGCGGGAGCGAAAGTGGATGGTCAGTGGGTTGGCCCAGTGCTACTTCCCAGAACACTCACCAAAACATGGAAGATCTTTGTGAAGCATAACGAAGCCCACTGTTTCGTAGGTGTCATTCCACTTGAATAAGTGTAGATCTACATAACTAAAAAATGAAATACAAGGACTTCCCTGACAGTCCAGTGGTCAAGACTCCGTGCTCCCACTGCATTGGCCACGAGTTCGACCCCTCATCAGGAAACTGAGACCCTTATGTGCCATGCAGGGTGGCCAAAAAATAAATAAATAACACTTTAAAATAAAATAAAAGACAAATAAATAATAAAAATCAATCTCCCTGGTTTCTTTGTACTTTTAAGAGTATGTTGCCTATTGAATTTAAAATTACACACATTCTAGACTGCAAGAAAATGATATAAATGAACTTATTAACCAAACAGAAACAGACTCATAGAAACAGGCATAGAAAACAAACTTATGGTTACCAAAAGGGAAAGGAAGGGGTGAGGGAGGGATAAATTAGGAGTTTGGGATTAACAGGCTTCCCTGGTGGCTCAGATGGTAAAGAGTCTGCCTGTAATGCAGGAGACTCGGGTTCAATCCCTGGGTCAGGAAGCTACCCTGGAGAAGGAATGGCAACCCACTCCAGTATTCTTGCCTGGAGAATTCCGCGGACAGAGGAGCCTGGTGGGCTACAGTACATGTGGTCGTGGAGAGTTGGACACAACTGAGTGACTAACAGATACACACTACTATATATAAAATAGATAACGAACAAGGACCTCCCATTTAACACAGGGAACTATATTCACTATCTTGTAATAAACTATAGTGGAAAAGAATCTGAAAAAGAATATCTATATCCATATCTATATCTGTGTCTATATATATGTATATATATAACTGATTCACTTTCATATGTATATATATAACTGTACACCTGAAAATAACATAACATTGTAAGTCAACTATACTTCAATTAAAAAAAGGAAACTCCCCAAAATAAAATAAAATTGCATGCACACTCACATCTGTGGCTTGTCTGTCACTTCCTCTGGACAACACTGGTCTAGCTGACTCTTTAGGTCTTGTCCCACTTAGATTAGAGGATGGAATGACAGCCCATCCCTCCTCATTTAAAAGTTCTTCCTCAGGGCGGAGGCAGTTGCATTAATTAGGATTTTGTTGCATAACAAACCACCCCAAAATGTAGTGGCTTCAAACAAGTGTTTATTTAGCTAACAGCTCTGTGAGTCTGCAACTTAGGCCAGGCTCAGCTGGTCCATTCTTCTCTCAATTTTGGCTGGCATACTCAGCGTTCACAGGCAGTTGGGCAGCTCTGATTCCAGGTCTTGGCTGGCCATGGCCAGGGTGACAGAGAAACCAAGTCTGTGTCCCTTGTCACCTACCAGTCAAGCCCAGGTTTATTCACACGGTGGTCCTGAGACTCCAAAAGCAAAAGAATGCAAGCTGCAGGCTGTCTGGCAGCCTCGCTCAGAACTCAGCCCAGGGCACCAGAGCACAGCTGTTGTCCAAAGCTAGTGTGAGGCCCAGCCTAGACTCAAGGACTGGGAAAACAGACTGCCTCTGTAGTGAGAAGCCCTGCCAAGAATTGGGGCCATTTTTGCTATCCCCTTTCACCAGCTGAGTGGCCCCAGACAAGAAAAGGACCGGCCTTGTTCCCTGGTCCCCGCTCTCTGTCAGGACCTCACTGGTGACTTTCATGGGCCTTAGGCACTTGGCCTCCATGGGCTCCCTCCTCCATGAAATGAATGAATATTTGAATAAAAGTTGGGACTTTCCTGGCGGTCCAATGGCTAAGATTCAGAGGGGCTGGGTTTGATCCTTGGTCAGGGAATTAGATTCCCACATGCTATAACTGAAGATCCTGCATGCCACAGCTAAGACCTTCTGCAGCCTAATTAATTAATTAAATTTTTTTTAATTAAAAATAACTAAATATAAGTTATATTTTATGACCACATTGATATAATGATGAACATATTCATTTTTTTCCTTCAGACTTTTAAAAGAAAATTGAACCATTTTCATGGGCCCCTAGGAGTCCCAGGCAGCTGAGTTGGTCCTGCTCTTGGGGGCTTCGTGGGCACAGGGCACCCCAACCCTGAGTGGCTCATAGGCCCAGCAATTGCTCAGCCACCTGGGAGTCGTTCAGGGTGCCAAAGGGTGGGGCAGGTGTCCTCTGACGGAGTTACATATTTCCCCAATTAACTGTGTTTCTAATACCCTATGAGAACCTCAGTGCTTTGTCCTTCACTTAAGCGATGAACCATTGTTAGACTCCCAGGGAACCTCCCGGAAGCCAGGTGAAACCAGGAAGTGCATTCAGGGCTTCAGAGGGTGATACTGACATCAATGCCCTTCCCCTTTGTCCATCACTTTCCATCCGCCAAGAGCTTTCCCACGCTTCCCTGCCTCACACCCTAATTAATACAACAGATGGTCCTACCTCCCTTTAGAAAATGAGGCTTGGAGATGTAACAGGACTTACCCATTTATAGGCAGGGTCACCAAGGAGTCCCGGTTCCAAGGTAGGAAGTGCTGGGTTTCCACATCCCAGGTGATGTGGCTCTTGCGGTCACTGGTGTGGCCGATGGCCCTGGTAACCGGAGCCTCCTCTTACACCTGAAGGAGGCCGGCCACAGAGTGCAGGCCTTCACTGAATGACCTGTGTGGAGATTTCCTGATGGGCCAGAGGCGTAGGCCACATGAATTTGGGGTGGGGTGGGCTGAGTGGTTCTTTCAGCTTCTTGAGGAAGTAATTTATGGCAGCTCTTCAAAATCAAAGCCTGCTTTTTGCTTCTTCTCAGATATGCATACTAGTCTGTTGTTTTTTGACAAGGCTATATTACCATGAGTCCTATTTATTTAAAAAGCCTATTACAAACTAAAACTAGAGCTACCGTGTGACCCTACAATCCCACTCTTATGCATATATCCAGAGAAAAACGTGGTCCAAAAGGATATATGCGCCGCAATGTTCAGAGCAACACTACAATAGCCAAGACATGAAAGCAACATTGGGCTTCCCTGGTGGCTAAGACAATAAAGCATCTGCCTGCAATGCAAGAGATCCAGGTTTGATCCCTGGGTCAGAAAGATCCCCTGGAGAAGGAAATGGCAACCCACTCCAGTACTTTTGCCTGGAAAATCCCATGGACAGAGGAGCCTGGTGGGCTACAGTCCATAGGCTTGCAAAGAGTCGGACATGACTAAGTGATTTTACTCTCCTTTCCTGCCCACAATGCAGGAGACCCAGATTCGATCCCTGGGTTGGGAAGATCCCCTGAAGAAGGAAATAGCATCCCATTCCAGTATTTTTGCCTGGAAAATCCCATGGACAGAGGAACCTGGCAGGGCTACAGTCCATGGGGTTGCAAAGAGTCAGACACAACTTAGTGACTAAACCACCACCATAGGAAGCAACCTAAATGTCCATCAATGAGGAATGAATAAAGATGTGTTACATA